ATCCATCCCCATCCCAACTCCTCTCTGGGAAGGAATTTTGGGAATTTTGGGAATTCAGGACTCCAGGAAGGGTCTCCCTTCCCTTTTCCATCCCAGAATTCCATAAAAATCCCTCAGGGATGGATCCTGAGTGTCCTGGATCCCAGAATCCTGGACTTTTTTGGGATGGGATCCATGGAATTAAATCCCATCCCATTCCAATCCCTCAATCCTGGGATTTTTCAGCCTTTCCTTGGACACTCCCAGGGATCCAGGGGCAGCCACGGCTTCTCTGGGAATTCCAGCCCAGCCAGGAATTCCTTCCCCATATCCCACCCATCCCTTCCCTCAGGCATTGGGAATTTCCAGTTCAGAATTCCAGCCAGTCAGAGCCCAGAAGCTGCAGTGAATAATTCCACAAGGAGGGAAAAAAAATTCCCTGAGGAATTGGTGGTTGATGCCAATCCTGTGATATTCCCAACTCCAGGATCATTCCCATGCCAAAAATCAGGGAAAATCCCGATTTTTTTCGCTTCGATCTTTTTACATCCCGACCTTACTCCTGACAGAATTCCCTCTTTTTTTTTTTTTTAATTTTTTTTTTTTTTTTTTTTTTAGTATTTTAATCCTGATCTTTGTGCCATTCCAGGGCTTTGGAATGTTGCTGATGGAGGAGGCAGAAAGGATTGCCAGGGAGGAGCACGGGGCACGGAAAATCGCCGTGATTTCCGGTATTCCTGATTTATCCCTCGGGATTTTTGGGGTTTTTGGGGTTTTTTTAGGATGTTTTTACCTTAATCCCAAAATTACAAAGTGCTGGGAATGCTCCTCAGCTCAGGGAGGATGCAGCTGGAATTATCCCAGAGGAAGGAGCTGGGAATTGGAGCTTTTGCTCCTCTCCCATTTTTCCTGGCGTTGGGGACAGCAGAGGGGACAATTTTGGGGTTGGAATTGATGGGATTTTGGGAGATGTGGCAGCTCCAGGATGGTTTTCCAGGTGGGTGGAAAGGTGGAATATCCAGGATCCAGCAATCCTGGAGCTCCTGGGAGCCTTGGGAATGTGGCCATTCCCTGGGCAGCTGTTCCAACCCCTGGAATACGATAATTTAATATAAATTTTATTATTGGGGAGGGGAATTCTTGTTGCCAGAGGAATTTTAGGGGATTTAACAGCAGAGCTTTGATCCAGAGGATTTTTTTTTTTTGGGGGGAAAAAAAAAAATCCACATTTTCTGCTGCCCCACCAAAAAAAACAAAACAAAACAAAACAAAAACCCAAAAACCCCCACAACCAAAAAACCCCAAAAAACAACCCCAAACAACCCAAAAATCAGAATTCCAGAGCCTGGATTGGAGCCCTGTGTGCTTCCAGCTCAAAAATCCCAGGATTTCCATGGATCACTGATGAGGATCAGGGTGACAATGGGGACAATGTGCAGGAGCAGCCGGATGCTCCAAGAGAATTTCCTGGATTTTCTGGATTTCCTGGATTT